AAAAACAAAAAAACCTTTCTTATTCTTACACTCAATATAATATTATTTGAGTCAAGTTCTGTATTCTGGTACTCAATTTCAGTAGTGCTGTTGAAATATATAATGTGCCTCATTTCACAGAGGGACCTCCACTATTATGCTGTGCACCTAGTGTTTCTTTCTTAAAAATAAGTGATGGATTAATGAGAGATAAATACTATTGACTATTTTACCTAGACTTTGGTTTGAATTCCTTGCGACTAATAGCACATATCTATAGGGCAGATGGCTGGGATGGAAGAGAAGACTAAGAAAGGGCTGCTAAGAGTCACTCTCAGGAAAGAAATGAATTTGCTTGGTCTCATTAGCACTATTTATTAATTGAGCTCCTTCCCAGCCCTCCCTCTGCCCTTAGGGCCTCTTACTGTAAGACAGTGTTTCTAAGAAAAAACATTAAAAAAAAAAAGTACTGCCCTTTCTAAGCATCATCTGATATCTTTGATTCACTCTAATCCAGCTTCTATATATCATAAAGGGGGAAAAAATACCTCTTTAGGTTGACATTGTGGTAACACTGACAACGACTTCCAAAATAGTATGTAATCACATGCGATTATAGTTTGGATCATGTTATCCAGCATCTGGGATCTATACTCAGCTCTGCCACGTGACTCAGTGCATGACGTGGAAAAGTCACTGCCTTTCTGGGCCTTTGCTTCTTTATCTTAAATAAGTAAATGAAACAAAATTCAGAGTGGAGGTTCAGAAATACACTGGGCTTTGGCATCCTTTCAAGAAATGTACCGGATACATACCAGATGACGGTATTCTTTATTTTGTCAGGAAGGTGAATGAACGGTTCCAACTCACCCACTTATGCCTGCCTCAAGCTACCCAGCAGTCTTCCCAACTAGGCAAAGGGCCCCTTCAGTCATAAATGTTGGGAGGAGAATCCCGGAAGGCATAACTGGAGCTTGGCTCCGTAGCTCATTTTTTCTTTTGTTCAACTGCCTGGCAGCAGATTGAGGGAAAAAGGAAAAAACACTGGGCTTTCATGGCTTCTCTCATGCCTCTGGCCCAAGAAAATGACCAAGAGCAGGAAATCAAGCAAAAGTAAGCCAGAGTCACATTCCCATGGCTTCTATCTAAGTCCCTGCTTAGAAGCAAGAAAGCACTAGCTCCAAACTCTGTCTCGGGTTATTTAACTTATAATTACAAGGCAATAGGAGGAAAATTTATAACCACATTCCTGTGGATCTGAGGTATCAAGAGTGGAGTTGTTTCTTCTGAGTGGGGTCTAGGGACTGGGTAGAAAGGTCCCTCTGTTGGGAACGAACATTTTACGTAGGATATGTGAGTATCTATTCTAAAACAATAAAAAATAACTTATGGGAAGGGGCAACAGTGTGCAGACAATGTACATTTTATTCTTTTAGTGATTAAGTTAGACTAAATACATGGTGAAGTTCATGCGCTGAGAACAAACACTAGAAACAGTGAAAAGAGCTCTAGAGCATACGTGAAACTTCTGAGAAAGATGAAAGTCAGAGCTTGAGGACAGAGACACACATTTTGCATTAATCTCTTGGAATGAATTAGAATCTCAAATCTCATTGCTTTACTGGGATACTATTGCCTAATAGAGGCTCCCATGATCTTAGTGTGTACCCAGATAGAGAATAAAACACACTTGTGCATGCAAGCAGGCACACATGCGTGCACGCACACACACACTCACACTATCTTATACCTCACTCATCCTGGAAGTCAGCACACAAAGGGTATGTGTGCTTACAAACACACCCAGGTCAAAGTACAGATTGGCAGAAGGCAAGTGGCAGAGGCTCCCAACAGGGCAGATAATTACAAAGCATCAACTCACAGACTCTGAGGAGATTTTCTTCAAAAGCTCAGCCCCTGGGGTTCCAACGAGTCTTAAAATGAGCTTCAACTGATCAATATCTAATGGTGGACCATAAAGGAAAATGTTGGGACGAAATAAAAATGAAAAACAAACAATGACAAACAAAACAAAACAAACAAACAAAACACCCCAAGAACAAAAATGAAACACCCCAAACCTAGCCAACACGGTGACTCCCTCTAGGTCAAGGTTCCCGCAGGGTGATCACTTCACGTAGGACATGCTCCTCCTGTACAAAGATTCAAAATGCTACCACACACGTATCCACTTTATATTCATTTTGTGCATCTGTCAACAGCATGTATCAGTAAAGTGAGGCAACGTTAGGTGGTTCTTAGCTGCCAAAGATAGCAGGTGAAAACACAAGAGCTTCACTCAGTTTACATTGCCCTCTTCATCTGCCATCACAGTGTCAGTAATCAGTCCAGGAAAGAGCACTGGTAATTAGAGGGCCACAGATAAGGAAAAAAGCAACAGAGCACAGGAGCTAGGGATGTACAAGTCTATTTATGAATATTCTCCTAAACGTGACCTAAAGAGCTTATGATATGACAATGGAAGGCCTGTGAGACCCCAAAACCTGACCACTGGAGCACACCCTCTGGGAAGCCTCGCCTCTCCCACTGGCTACAGTAGGCAGAGCACGATGAGGGAGAGTCGCCAGCAGAGGGCGCTCTCCCACCGCATGTTCCTTCAGGAGCGCCATGAGAACACAAACACAGGCAGCTTCAACCTTATAAAACGCAAATGAACAATGCTTAACAAATTCCACACATCCCAAAGGCTCTAAATAATAGGCCACAATGCTAACACTTTTATCCTGGTAGCCAACACTTCAATGTATACTCAGAATGTATGTGCATGTGTTAACCAGAAGACAAAAATTTCCATTTGTTCTCATTGCTTTTAGTCTTACCTAAAAAGGAAGTTAAAAGGGGGGGGGGGAAATATTATAAAATAGCTTTTAATGTTTTATCTGAAAATGTGAATAGTTTATCCACGTTTATACTGACTGACATTCCACGGAGGGAGAAGGGGAGGATGACTGTCTTCTGACCCATCAGGTTTTTCACGTGACTAAATCCTCTTGGCCTCAGGTCTCAGCTTCAACTTCACCTCCTCAGGGAGGCCTCCCCTCAACACTCTATATACATAATACCCCACTCTCCCCCAATTCCTTCTCAGCATCATGCTTGATAACATCATAGTGCTTATCACAGCCTAGAATTACTTTGTTTGCTTACTGTCTGCCCCTTGTACTGGTCTACAGCTCTGTGAGGACAGGGGCCACTCTGCCTCTTCACCATTTATCCTCAGCCTAACATCTGGTACATGACGGGTAGTCAAAATATTTGAGGAAAAGGTAGAGCAGGATGAAAGAAATTTTTGCTTATGGTTATACATATAAAGGCAACATAGCAACACTTAAAAACAGCAGTCTCTATAAGCCACAGGTGCCTACGTTATAGGAATAACTTATGCAGTAATTTGACATCTTGTCTTTTACTTTCTTTTAGATATGAAATCAGCTTAAACAGAAGAAAATTCTAGGCTGAAGTCAGCAAACCCCAATCTCTTCCTGTTTTATATATAAAGTTTTATTAGAACACAGCCATGTCCATTCATTTATGTACAGTCTATAGGTGTTTCCAATTACAACAAGCACAGTTACCATACGGTTCCCAAGCCTAAAATAGTAACGACCTGGCCCTTTCAGAAAAGGTGTGCCAAACCCCAACCTAAACCCAAACAACTTGTGTTCTTCAGCAAGCAAAACAAACTAGAAACAAGTCCACTCACGTAAGTTATTTCTAAATTAAGAATAACAGGGAATTCTGTCATCTGCAAATGGTAAAAATCAGTGTGTTATAAAGGTTAAGATTTAAATACTGGTTTCTCAGTTCAAGATGTTGACAAGACAAAAATTTTGAAGCATATGTTCATAGGACAGAGCAGGAGTGGGGGTGGGATGGATACTGTCTTGCTCTAAAATAATCAGATTAATTATATCACAATAGAAATCTGTAAAAAAAAAATTATTGCTGCTCTAAAATGACTCAATTTACAAAAATTTAGTTCCCTCACATTAACACTCTTCAGGAATATATTTAACTGGGTAGCCACCACAAGAAAAAGTAAATCATATATGGGAAAAATCTCAATGACTTCATATCTCAAACAGGTGGCTTTACAATATATGCATCAAAAGTAATCTCTAAAATGAAGCTTTTGATATTAGTATTCTTAAGAGACTTCTGACTACTTACAGTGAGAGTCAATTTTTATACTCTCTCCAAGGAAGACAAGCTCTCTGAGCTACGAATTTCTCAACTACCTGAACTTCACCCCAACCTACCTGAAGAATATGCAATTTCCATTAGTCACAGTGGCTCATTACGTCAATGAGCTGGGAAACCCTCTCTCTCCCACCTCTGCTGGCATGAAACAATATCAGGCCTGAAGAATCAAGCCCCAATTCCTCAGCCTCACATTCACAGCCGTCTGAGATTTGGCATCAAGCTTCTTTTCTGACTCTGGCTCAAACTACTATTCTTTAATGCACTCAGTGCTTCAACTCACACCAGATATTCCAGGCACTTCTAAGCTTCCAAGTACTTATTTATGTAACTCATAAACCAGAACACCTCCCCTCCTCCCATCCTTCCAAGCCTTTCCTATTCCTATTTACTCTTTGAAGTCCTATTCAAACAAGAACTCTGCCATGAAGTCTTGGATATATTGAGGTGGAACTAATTCTCTACTTTTTTTTCAAAAGCTTATCTATTATTCTAGCGTATTTATCACTCCATCTTATTTTATAATCAGGGACAAACAGTTGTTCAAGTAACTCTTGTAACTCTCTTTCCACTGAGTCTGATCATTCTGGTTTTAAGGACAGGTACCATCCTGTCCCCACACCTTCCACAGAGCAGCTTGATAAATACTGGTTGACTTGAAAAGATGAGCCATGGCACATCCTTTCAGCACCTCGGTAGGCACCGGTGTCTCCAGCCGTGGCACTGGCACCTGCTGACACTGCTGCCTCCAGTAGTTCTTTCATTCTCTTCCCTTTGTCACCCCTACACCTTGGAGGTAAACTTCTCTCCTGAGGGCTGTAAAGACTAGTTTGAAAAGGGACAGCCAAGAACCAACTGAATCTTCTCAGAATGGAAACACTGTATTATTTTGGAGGAGTTAATTTCAGAAGGAAAATGGGTCAAGCTTGAAAAAACAACGTAGGTGGCTCCTACTGGTAAAACTGGAACTTGGGACTCAGTGAAACGTACAACCAGGAAAGAACAGACTGGTGATGATGCAGCGATCATCCCTGTGCTGCAGAGAACGCTTCACTACGAGTGTATCATTCTGGTGAAACAGTCCTGACGACCAACGGGTGGCTACCGCATAGAGTTCCCTGCAGGTCTCATAGATTATGGTGAAATCCCAGGAGCAGCTGCTCTTCGGGAGCTTGAAGAAGAAACTGGCTACTAGGGGGACATTGCCGAAAGTTCTCCAGTGGTCTGTATGGACCCAAGTTTGTCAAACTGTACCACACACATTGTGACAGTAATCATTAACGGAGATGATATAGAAAATCTAAGGCCCAAGCCAACACCAGGGGATGGAGAATTTGTGGAAATCATTTCGTTACCCAAGAATGACCCGCTGCAGAGACTCGATGCTCTCATAGCTGAAGAACATCTTACAGTGGATGCCAGAGTCTATTCCTATGCTCTAGTGCTGAAACATGCAAATGTGAAGCCATTTGAAGTGCCCACCCTGAAATCTGAAGGCCAAAGACAACACTGGCCATTTTTGTAAATGAGACTACCAGGCCTTCTTCACAAAGACTTTGTATTCAACTTAGTTTAATGTAGATTTGAATTAGCTTTTTCGTAAAATAAAAGCAGCACAAAATGCAAAAAAAAAGAAAAGAAAAGATGAGCCATATTATGCTTTTCAACTCAGTCCTACCCCACTGCCTTGCCCTCAAAACACAGAATGACCATACTCCATGGAAAAATACATAATGTAAAATAAAAATCTTAGTAGCTAAAAGCATTTGCATGAAGGAAGTTAAAACATGCAAACCTCAGAAGAAATCACCATGGGTTCTTCAAAAGTTGGCAAATCCACTGAAATACAGGCCAGTCTTCCAACAGTACCAGCTACTATAAGGCCACTATGATTTGTCCAGGCAGTTAAGACCAGAAGGAGCTTCACGTAGCCATATTAGCGGAGTAAAGTAAAACTTACCACATCATGACAATCAGTATTTCCACAGTGAGTCATCCTTTGTAACAGGTTTAGCCCTTTTTCTCTTAGGTAGAAAATATTTTTACTATTAGTTTAAAATGTGTTTTAACTGTAATGATCACAACGTCAAAATTTAAATCATAAATCTCCTGAATCCTTCTAAAACAAATGAAGAAAAGAACAACTTAAGCCTAAGATTACTCTTTAGATCAAGTCATCTTTAACAGAAGCAACAGTCAGAATGAACATGTAAAGAAAAAAAACAAAAACAAAAACTAAGTATAACAGGATATTTCTAGGGGAAGTAAAAGAGGGATATTTTAGTCAGTTCTAAGTGCTCCAGGCAACTCCTAAAAAACCTCCACAGACCAGAAAGTTGAAGATGAACAGAAGGACCAGTTGCAGGACCTACCTGCCATGAGCAGTAATTTTCAACGAAATAAATCCACATAGGGGCAAAATGGAGCACTAACCTTTGGAAAGGTAGGAAACCTTCCTAGTGACAGACAGGATAGACGAGAGTAAGACTTAGCCTAGCTCCTTATCTTCCAGGTTGTCAAAATAGTCATTTTCACTGTAACACAAAGAAAATGTCTTAAGGTACCCTTGGTTTATGGACAAATCTGAGGATTCTACCTTTTTCTGAGAAAATGTATTCTCAAGTCAGAGAAGAAAGGGCAAATAATCTAATAAAATATTTTTCTTCTTCAGCGTTTATTAGGACACTTGCTTTTAGTGTCTAAAGTGAAACTGCTTTTTAAAAATGAGAGAACATCCAGGCTGGCCAACATGGCAAAACCCTGTCTCTACTAAAAATACAAAAATTAACAGGGCATGATGACGTGCGCCTGTAATCCCAGATACTCGGGAGGCTGAGGCAGGGAGAAGTCACTTGAACCCAGGGAATGGGAGGTTGCAGGGAGCCAAGATGAGGCCATTGCACTCCAGCCTGGGCGACAGAGCGAGACTCTGTCTCCAAAAAAAAAAAAAAAAAAAGAGAGACAGAGAATATTGGCAGGGTTTGCCAGGTGGCCACACCGTTGTAATCCCAACACTTTGGCAGGCCAAGGTGGGCAAATCACTTGAGGTCTGGAGTTCTAGACCAGCCTGGCCAACATGATGAAACCCAATCTCTACTAAAAATACAAAAAATTAGCTGGGCGTGGTGGTGTGCGCCTGTAGTCCCAGGTTCTTGGGAGGTTGAGGCAGGAGAATTGTTTGAACCCAGGAGGTGGAGGTTACAGTGAGCTGAGATTGTGCCACTGCACTCCAGCTTGGGCGACAGAGCGAGACTCTGTCTCAAAAAACAAACAACAAAAAAAGAATATTTGAAACCAATGACTGAAAGTGATGGGCAGATGTGAGAGAAGGGTCTCCAGAAACTTTAGCTCTACTGCCAGTGTTTTAACCCACAAGCAGGACAGTATGAACAGAGGTGTTCACTATATTACTATTTGTCTACTAGTATGTCTGAAATATTTCAAAACATGTTTGCAAAAGAAATGGAAAAAAAAATAGAAGCAGCAAATTTAATACACTAAGAAAATTCCTATAGACCAGGGCAGCAACTGATGGCAAGTGGATTTTAACTCAGCTCCATTAACCCATAAGAGCAACATTTCTGTTAAAATTAAAGGTTTTACACATAAAGGAAATTCACTTGATTATGTAGAAAAGGAAAACAGCAGCAAGCCAAGGCTGTGATCTCTGGTAGAAAAACAGTATTTGATGAGTAACAGGGCTATGAAACTTTCTTCCTTAAGCTGCAGAGTGTTAAGTGTCGATAACAGAATTTTCTAAGTGGCTTATTCATTTCAAGATCTATGGTATTTGAAGTAAGTTAGTACTATACCTGAAGAGACATTCTGTATCCTCCCCCTCCTTTCTAGTACAAAGTTCTGTCAGCTGTGTCCACTTGAGATCCCTAGTCAACTAGGCTTTTAAGAAAGGGCTTCATTCTTTAAAAAATACTACTACTATTATTAGGCCAGATGGAAGGGGTTCTGCAAAGTCACAAACAAGAATTTCTAATCTGATAACACATAATTGGCTTTAAGACAAAAATGAGTATTTCTTATATGTTTTTTAAATTAAATTAAAATTCTGAGATACATGTGCAGCATGTGCCGGTTTGTTACATAGGTAAATATGTGGCATGGTAGTTTGCTCCACCTATCAATCCATCACCTAGGTGTTAAGCCCCACATGCATTAGCTATTTATCCTGATGTGCTCCCTCCACCTGCCCCCCACCCCACCCCACCCCACCAACAGGCCCCAGTGTGTGTTGCTCTCCTCCATGTGTCCATGTGTTCTCATTGTTCAGCTCCCACTTGTGAGAACATGCAGTGTTTGGCTTTTTGAGGAAAATGGCTTCAAGCTCCATCAGTGTCCCTGCAAAGGGCACAATCTCATTCCTTTTTATGGCTGTATAGTATTCCATGGTGTATATGTACCACATTTTTTTATCCAGTCCATCACTGGATAATGGGCATTTGGGTTGATTCCATGTCTTTGCTATTGTGAATAATGCTGCAGTCAACATACACATGCATGTATCTTTGTAACAGAATGATTTATATTCCTTTGGGTACATACCCAGTAATGGGATTGCTGGGTCAAATGTTATTTCTCATTCTAGGTCTTTGAGGATTTCACCACAGTGTCTTCCACAATGGTTGAACTAATTTTCATTCCCACCAACAGTGTAAATGTTCCTATTTCTCCATAGTCTCACCAGCATCTGTTCTTTCTTGACTTTTTAATAATCACCATTCTGACTCGCATGAGATAGTATCTCATTGTGGTTTCCATTTGCATTTCTCTAATGGACAGTGATGTTGAGCTTTTTTTCATGTTTGTTGGCTGCATAAATGTCTTCTTTTGAGAAATGTCTGTTCATGTCCTTTGCCAACTTTTTTTTTTTTTTTGAGACAGAGTCTTGCTCTGTCGCCTAGGCTGGAACGCAGTGGTGTGATCTCGGCTCACTGCAAGCTCCGCCTCCCGGGTTCATGCCATGCCCCAGCCTCCTGAGTAGCTGGGACTACAGGCGCGAGCCACCATGCCTGGCGAAGTTTTTGTGTTTTTAGTAGAGATGGGGTTTCACTGTGTTGGCCAGGATGGTCTCGATCTCCTGACCTCGTGATCCCTGCCTTGGCCTCCCAAAGTGCTGGGATTACAGGCATGAGCCACCATGCCTGGCCCTTTGCCAACTTTTTAATGGGGTTTTTCTCTTGTAAATTTGTTTAAGTTCCTTGTAGATTCTGGATATCAGCCTTTTGTCAGATGGATAGATCACAAAAATTGTCTCCCATTCTGTAGGTTGTCTGTTCACTCATGACAGTTTCTTTTGCTGTGCAGAAGACCATTCGTCAGTTTTTGCTTCTGTTGCCATTGCTTTTGATGTTTTCATCATGAAATTTTTGCGTATGCCTATGTCCTTAATGATATTGCCTAGATTTTCTTCTAGGGTTTTTATAGTTTGGGGTTCTACATTTAAGTCTTTAATTCATCTCGAGTTAATTTTTGTATAAGGTGGATGGAAGGGGTCCAGTTTCAATTTTCTGCATATGGCTAGCCAGTTCTCCCAGCACCATTTATTAAATAGGGAATCCTTTCCCCATTGCTTGTTTTTGTCAGCTTTGTTGAAAATCAGATGGTTGTAGATGTGCAGTTTTATTTCTGAGATTTCTATTCTGTTCCATTGGTCTGTGTGTCTGTTTTTGTACTAGTACCATGCTGTCTTGGTTACTGTAGCCTTGTAGTATAGTTCAAAGTCGGGTAGTGTGATGCCTCCACATTTGTTCTTTTTGCTTAGGATTGTTTGGGCTACATGGGCTCTTTTTTGGTTCCATATGAATTTTACAGTTTCTTTCTAATTCTGTGAAGAATGTCAATGGTAGTTTAATGGGAATAGCATTGAATCTATAAATTACTTTGGGCAATATGGCCATTTTCATGACACTGATTCTTCCTATCCATGAGCATGGAATGTTGTTCCATTTGTTTGTGTCCTCTCTGATTTCCTTTAGCAGCGGTTTGTAGTTCTCCTTGAAGAGGTCCTTCACTTCCCTTGTTATTAATAGCTATAGTCCTGCGTATGTTGTTCTCTTTTAGCAGTTGTGAATAAGAGTTCATTCATGATTTGGTTCTCTGCTTGTCTATTGTTGGTGTATAGGAATAGTTGTGATTTTTGCACTTTGATTTTGCATCCTGAGACTTTGCTGAAGTTCCTTATCAGCTTAAGAAGCTTTTAGTCTGAGACAACAAGGTTTTCTAGATATAGGATCATGTCACCTGCAAACAGAGTTTGACTTCCTCTCTTCCCATTTGAACACTCTTTCTTTCTTTTGCCTGATTGCCCTGGCCAGAATTTCCAATACTATGTTGAATAGGAGTGGGGAAAGAGGGCATCCTTGTGCCAGTTTTGAAGGAGAATGCTTCCAGCTTTTGCCTATTCAGTAAGATACTGGCTGTGGGTTTGTCTTAAATGACTTACTATTTTGAGGTATGTTCCATTAATACCTAGTTTATTGAGAGCTTTTAACATGAAGACATGCTGAATTTTATTAAAGGCCTTTTCTGCATCCATTGAGATAATCATGTGGTTTTTGTCTTTAGTTCTGTTTATGTGATGAATTATGGTTATTGATTTGCCTATGTTAAAACAGCCTTGCATCCCAGGGATGAAGCCAACTTGATCGTGGTGGATGGATAAGCTTTTGACGTGCTGCTGGATTTGGTTTGCCAGTATTTTACTGAGGATTTTTGCATCAATGTTCATCAGGGATATTGGCCTGAAGTTTTCTTTTTCTGCTGTATCTCTGGCAGGCTTTGGTACTGGGATAACACTGGCCTCATAAAATGAATCACAGGGGAGTCCCTCCTTTTTGTATGTTTGGGATAGTTTCAGAAGAAATGTACCAGCTCTTCTTTGTACCTGTGGTGGAATTTGGCTGTAAATTTGTCTGGTCCTGGGCTTTTCTTCCTTGGTAGGCTATTTATTACTGCATCGATTTGAGAATTTGTTATTGGTAGATTCAACATTTTCCTGGTTCGGTCTTGGGAGATCATATGTGTCCAGGAATTTATCCATTTCTTCTAGATTTTCTAGTTTATTTGCATAGAGGTGTTTATAGTATTCTCTGATGGTAGTTTGTATTTCTGTGGGGTCGGTGGTGATATCCCCTTTATCATCTTTATTGTGTCTATTTGATTCTTCCTTCTTTTCATTATTCTAGCTGGAAGTCTTATTTTATTTTCCAAAAAAACAGCTCCTGGAGTCACTGATATTTTTGGAAGGGTTTTTTGTGTCTCTGTCTCCTTCAGTTCCCCTCTGATCTTGGTTATTTCTTATCCTCTGCTAGCTTTGGGTTTGTGTGCCCTTGGTTCTCTAGTTCTTTTAGCTGTGATGTCAGGGTATCAATTTGAGATCTTTTTAGCTTTCTGATGTGGGTATTTAGTGCTATAAACTTCCCTTTTTTAAATTATACTTTAAGTTCTAGGGTACATGTGCACAACGTGCAGGTTTGTTACATATGTATACATGTGCCATGTTAGTGTGCTGCACCCATTAACTCATCATTTACATTAGGCATATCTCCTAATGCTATCCTTTTTTTTTGAGACGGAGTCTCGCTCGTCCACCCAGGCTGGAGTTACTCAGTGAGGATCTCAGCTCGGTCTAGCAGCTTGGCCTCCCTGGTTCAGGCATCTTCCGCCTTTCAGCCTCCATGAGCGCTGGACTTACCAAAGCGCCCTGCTCACCACGCCAGCTATGTTTGATTAGTAGAGACGGTGGTTCATCGTGAGCCAGGAT